TAAAAGTACATAAAAACATAAATAATAAAACACATTTATATAAGGTGTGCATGCATAATCAACTACTGTATATTCTCTATATACATACTTTATATATACTATATATACATACTATAGACACTATCATATTTATACATACATTATATATATGCATACACATATATACATTATTTAATTATCTTTATGTATATTATAAAACCAATGGGTGTCTGGGTGAGTTAGAGAGTGTAAAACAAAATTACAAATCCGTGGTGACCACAGAGACACCAAACACATACCTTTGAACATACGTGTGTGGGGCTGCAGATCCCTCCTCCTGACCTGGGAACACTGGCAACAGTTTATGTTTCATCCAGAATCTTGACACAACTCGGCCTGATGCCAAAAAACCTCAGCATGAAAACTCGTCAGAGACTTTTGTATCTTTAAGCAGCAAGGTATTTGTTTATTCAGCATTGGGAACAAGCCAGCTCGCACTGGACAAACTTGCTCGACCTGACAGTGCAAAACTAAGCCATTTTATACACTTTAGATACTTGGTTAGATCATCTGACATACATATTAATAAGTAGGAGAGTCTCTGGGCAGAGTCTTTCCAGACATGCACAGTCTTCTACTGTGGGGGTCTTCTCCTCCAGCCTTCATCCCTCTGGTGGTCACCATGGACATCTTCCTCAATTTGACCTCTTCAATTAGGTGACCTGAATTCTTCAAGCTTGCAAAATCCTGGCTCTGGGCCTTCTAGATCTTATTCAAATGTCTAGTTAACTTATTTATTACTGTGTGTATAGTACTCCTTTCTATACTAATGCCTTTGGTCCAGTGAGCAGAACAGAACATGATATTAAGCAGGGCTCCTAAAATGTTCTTCTAGCAAAACCGGTAGAGCAAAGAGGACAAGGTATACCAGCTGAATCTTTGTTAACTCTTTTTTTGTGCCCTTTTGCCATCAGGAGACACTGGCTGTAGTCTTAAACCAGCAGGGTTTCTGGTCTGACCTTATTCACCGAAGATAGAAACTGGTTGTGTGTGAATAACTTAGGAATTTTAACTCTGGTTTGTTAATAAAGGAATACTGTTAATAAAGGAATTACTAAACAACCTGGCTTTGAATTTGACATTATTGGGAACAACAGCCCTCCCACCCTTTGGGCTCTCTGAAGTGAGAAAGAACAGGTCTCCAAACACTCCCAGCAGTTGCTGTGCTGGCCCTGGGCCCAGCTCAGCTGTTCTGTCCTGCCTGACTCCCAAACCAGAGAGCCCCGTGTGACATGGAGAGATCCACCTCTGGGGACTGCAGCTCTGCCAGGCAGTAGGTCCTTCTCTGAGGAATTGTGGCCAAGGGAGGAACAGGGGAGGAAATCACACCTTTAGACAGCCCAGCACAGAGGAGCAGCTCTCTCCAGAGCTGCAATTCCAGGGCCCCTTCCCCAAAGCACAAAGCCTTTGATAAGGGTGTGACCCACTCACAGCCCTCACTGAGCCTGGAAAAGCCCCCGGAGGTTGAGTCTGACCATTCACCCAACACTCCCAGGGCCACATCCACACCTTTCTGGGACACTGCCAGGGATGGTGGTTCCACCTCTGCCCTGCACAGCCCGTGCCAATGCCCGACTGCCCCTTCAGTGAAGAAATGTTCCCTAATTGCATTAATTAACAAGTCACTTCAGCACCACCACATGAACCCTTTGTCCCAGAAAGGCAGCCAAGGATGGAGCCCCTTCCCTGCCTCCTGAGGGAACAGGGCAAACAGGAGTGAGGATCAGAATAACCCCAGTGCTGCTGAACCCCCCCAGGGCTGGGCCGGGGAAAGGGGCCTTTCCCGCTCACCCGGAGCTTTGGAGGTGGGTTTTCCCTGGACTTTTTATTCTTTTGAGCCGCTGCAGCTCCTGGGCCAAGATCTTCCCGTCCCCAGCAGGTCCTCGAGGTGCCTCCGAGCCTCCTCCGTGCTCACCAGAACCTCCACTTCGTTCTCAGCCCCGGAGCCGCCGCTGCGCCTTCCATGGCGGCGCCGCCACGGCCGCGACTCAAACCAGCCAATCGGGGGGCGGTGCGTCACCGAGGGGCGGTATTCGAACCAATCACGGGGCGGGGCGTCACCGAGGGGCGGGGCACAGCCAATCGTCGATCAGAACGCCAGGAAGCGGCGGGGCCGGCAGAGCGCCGGACCAATGGCGCGCCGGTGCGTCCCCCGCGGCGGGCGCGGCCCGGCGCAGCCAATGGGCGCGCGGTGCGCGCCGCCCGAGCCGGCCATGGAGCCCCGCGCTCCCTACGACGACTTCCCGGTGGTTTTCCTGCCGCCCTACGAGAGCCCGCCCGCCTGGGTCCCGCCGCACGAGGTGAGGGAGCTCGGGGGACCGCGCCGGCCCGGGGGCGGTCGCGGGGTCGCCTGGGCGGGGGCCCGGCCCGGCCCCGGCTGAGCTGGCGCGTCCCCGCAGCGGGTGTTTCACCCCGACTACAACAACGAGCTCACGCGGTTCCTGCCCCGCACCATCGCCCTGCAGAAGCCGCCCGGGGCGCAGGTGAGAGCCCGCGGAGGCCCGGGGGGCCGCTCCCGGCGCGTTTCCCGCAGGAGCCGCCCGGGATCGCGCTGGTCCCGAACCGGCCCGTGCAGGGCGGGGCCCGCGGGATTCCCGGGGCCGGGAAGGGGCAGGGACGGGGGCCACGGGCAGGGATCGCTGCTGGCGGGATATCGGGGAGGTGGAGCTGCGGAACGGAGGGAGCGGCGGCCCCGCGGGGGTTCCGGGTGGGAGAGAGGGTCTGGGGCTGCAGGGGGGCTGGGAACGGGAACAGAGACCGGGATCCGTCTGGGAGAGAGGGGCGGTACCTGGGAATGGGAAGGGACCTGGAAAGGGTAAGGGAGCTGGAAAGGGTAAGGGTCCTGGGAATGGGAAGGGTCTTGGGCCAAGGGAAGGGCCCTGGGCCAAGGGAAGGGCCCTGCTGTTTGCCTTTCACTGCTGGTTTTTCCCACAGTTGGGCTTCAACATCCGGGGAGGAAAAGCCTCCCAGCTGGGGATCTTCATCTCCAAGGTGTGTCCATCCCTGTCCATTCCCCCCTGGATCCTGCTGTTCCCTGGGGAGCTGCTGGGTGTGCAGGGGGCTCGGAGCTGCCCCATCCACTCCCCAGCTCAGGCTGGGGTTTCCCACACTCGGCCCCTCCTGTGGCACTGGCGGGTCCCTTCCCAGCCCCGGGAATTGCCAGGGCTGAGCCTTCCCTGCTCCCTGTGCTGCCCGGTGCCCTGTGGGTGCTGAGGGTGCCGTGGGAGGTGCCCAGTCCGTGCCATCCCCGTCCCCAGGTGATCCCCGACTCGGACGCGCACAGGGCGGGGCTGCAGGAGGGGGACCAGGTGCTCTCGGTGAACGACGTGGATTTCCAGGACATCGAGCACAGCAAGGTGAGCTGGGGCAGGGGGAGTATCCAGGCCCTTCCAGCCCCTCCCCACAGGGCCAGGGAACGCCCTGCCCTGCCCAGCCCTGCCCAGCCCTTGTTTTCCAGGCCGTGGAGATCCTGAAGACGGCCCGGGAGATCACGATGCGCGTGCGCTACTTCCCCTACAGTGAGTGGGGCCGGGGCTCCGGGGGCAGCACGTTCCAGCCATCCCTGCCACCTCCCCCCGAGTTTGGCAGGGCACAGACGGGGATCTGGGATCAGGCACCACCTCAGGACAATAAGGGAAACTTGGGGAGCGGGGCTGAGCCACCCCGTGCTGGAAGGGGGGGATGGTGGGGAAGGACAAAGGTAATTTAGGACTCTAGAAGCAGCTGATTATCCTTGGATAACACAGGAATGAGCTCTGGCACCAGTGCCAGTGGTGGATGCCCCTCCCAAGGGATGCTGGAATGGTGAGGGAAGGGAAGGTCTGTGCTCACTCCCAAGTTCTGCTTCTGCTCCCATAAAGTTCAAAGATTTAAGGGATAAGAAAAGAGATCAAGCCAAGTCAAACAGGGATTCTTCCTGAAATGGAAACTGGCCACAAAAAGGAAAACATGGAGTGGGGGAAGAGAGGGTTTAAAACAAGCTGTTGCTCTTAAATGCCCTGAAATGAGGGGCTGGGATGCAAATGTGCAATTCCAAAGGCAGAGGGGCCCGAGCTCTGCCTCTGCCTGGGGAGGTGTGGCCAGAAGGTGTTTTCCTGCCCCTGGGGGTGATTCCCCCGTTGCTCAGGCTCTGCCTCTCCCCCCAGATTACCAGCGGCAGAAGGAACGGACTGTTCACTAACGGGAGCTCTGCTGGGGCTCCTCCTGCACAAACCTCTCCTGCTTTCCCACCCCCCGAGATGGCCCAGCAGGCTCAGCTCCCACTGCAGGCACAGCTGTGCCCTGCCTGGAGAGATGCCCAGAGTGTCACCCAGCTGGAGGCTGGAGGGGACTGAGCCTGTGCTCCTGAATGGGGCTGGAACAACTGATGGGAATTGGGGACTGGAGGGAGCTGCTCCAGCACCATCCCTGCTCCTGTTTCAGCAGGACTTGAGTGAGTGCTGTGCTGGTTCTGGATCCCTTGGTCCTGGAAGCTTTGTTGGGATGGAAAAGCACGAGGGGCTGAGGCTCCTGAGCAAAGCAGGGGCCTTGTCCTCCAAGAAATCCCCCCGTTCCCTTCTCTCATGCCATGGAATTCTTTCCTTCTCCTCTGTGCCACCTCTGCTCTGGTCTGCTGGGGGATCCAGGAGTAAAACCCACTCCTGGGGGATCCAGGAGTAAAACCCACCCAAACTCAGTGCCCAGCTCTGGCTGCACTGGGCTCTTTGTGCCTCTGTGCTGGGAATGACCCCGGGATACAGGGCTGGGGTGTTTGGAAACCTCCACTGTGTTGTTTGGCTCCTGAGGGAAGAAAGGGACAATGGGAATGCCAGTCAGGAACACCAAGACATGGATGTCAAACGGGAAAAGAGTGATCCTCAGAGGATTCCCTGGCATTCCTGAAGGGGCTGTGGTTGGAGATAAAAAACAGATCAAAAACACCTGCCACAGACCACATGGGGGTGTGCACAAGACACAAGGGCCAGGTTACAAACACACTCCACTTTATTTCCACATTCCCACCCCCCTGGCCAGAGCACTCCCACCCCCTGTGAGCCCTGGGAAGGGCCCCATTCCCATCACAAGGTGTCATAGTCATCCTCGTCCTCGTGCTTCCTCTTGAGGGGGTTGGGGTCGCTGGCTGTGCCCTGGGACACCATGTTGGTGGTGATGAGGATGTTCTTGGGGCCGATCAGGGACGGGTTGATCAGCACGTTCTGCACGGTCGGGGTGGTCGGGGTGGCTGTGGCAACAAAGGGAATCACTTAGTGAGAGCTTGGAAAAAGGACAGGGGATCTTCCCAGTGAAACAACTTCCAAGGCAATAAAGCAGTGTGCTGGCTGAACATCCCGGGCTGAAAACCCTGGAATGATCCCCAGATGGAAGTGGAGAAGGTGGGGAAATGCTTGTGGGGTCAGGACAGAGGAGTGAGAGCACAGAGGTGGAGCCAAGGCACGAGAGACACTGATGCTGCTCTGTGGCTGTCACTGCTGTGCTGGGAATGGACACTGGGAGTTACTGGAAAGAGGGAGAGGGGAGGTTACTTCCCACTTGAGGCTGCCCAGAGAAGCTTTGGCTGCTCCATCCCTGGAAGTGTCCAGGCCAGGTTGGAACAACCTGAGATAGTGAAGGTGTCCCTGCCCATGGCAGGGGTGGGACTAGAGGAGCTAACCCAAAGCACCCTGTGACCATCCCTGTGCTCCAATCCCAAGGCAATCCCAGCCATACCTGACTTCCCAGCAGGTTGGGAGGACGGGATCTGGACGGTGAAGCGCTGCCCAGCCAGAGACACCGGGGCCCCCACCTTGGCTGACACAGACACAGTCTGGGCTGAGGGGGTACCTGGAACCCAACACAACCCCTCAAAATCCAGCAAAATACATCAACAGACGCTCCTAAACCTGCTTCCAAAATGGAACGTGTGGGGATGCACAGGGACACACTGGCTATAAGGAGTCAGATTCCCAGGCAGAACCACACATTGACTCCTTTTCCCACGTTTCCTCCAGCCCTACACAATTCCAGGCTATAAACACACACTTATTTCTAAGGGCACGTGCTCAGCCCTCAATTCTGTGAACATTTTAGAAATGGTTCTTTTTCAGTTCTATTTAGTTCAGTGTCACACTGATACTGAGGAAAAACCCTCACACTTCATAAATTTCTTGAATAGTCTCTTAAATAAAGAATTTACCACAAATACAGTGAATTTGTAATGCCAATATGTATCAAACATCATTGTAATAATAAAGATTAATTTAGCTGTCAAACAGTATAAGGTCAGGTGGCCACTGACAGTCCCCCAGTGGTTGAAAAGTCCTTTAAATTATTCCTCTTTATTTTCCCTCCATAAAATGAAGGTGGGAAACTCCCCCTGAAACTGTTTCCTACCCAGAGTGGGAGTGCTGGGTCTGCTGCTGACGGCACCCACGCTCAGGCGAGGGACTGTGATCCTGCCTGCTGTGGAGGAGACCTGGGGGAGAGAACCAGGGAATCAGGGAATAAATAGGAAATCCCCCCACTGAGACATTCAGTGTTTGCCAGCAAAGTCAATCTTTTCCCTCTAAAGCAGAAACAACTGAGATGGAAGTACAAAATACCCCTTAATATCTACACCAAAGCCTGGCTCGTGCCTTTGACAACCTGATGTTCAACCTGACAGTTCCTCCTGGACATCATGAGGAATTTCCTCATGGAAAGGGTGGTCAGGCACTGGAAGGGGCTGCCCAGGGAGGTGGTGGAGTCCCCATCCCTGGAGGTGTCTGGACGTGGCACTCAGTGCTTGGGCTGGGGGACAAGGTGGGGATCAGGTTGGACTCAATCTTGAAAGTCTTTTCCAACCTCAATGATTCTGTGATACTGCTAAAATGCTACAAAATTCCCAGATGGATTTTATAACACATTTTGCATTTCAGATTAACTGGCCATAATAATATTTGCAAATGCAGGCTGGAGACAGAGGGTGCTGATGGTCCTAAATATTCACTGATGGTTCCAAACACCCACTGACATGCCCAGCTCAACACATGCCCACAAGTGCCTTCCAGAGGTGTGGAAAACCGTCATCCCAACCCCACTGCTGCCACCCCAGGAGGAGCATCCTCAGATTCCCCATTCCCAGAACCCTCACCTTCTTCTGCAGGGCCTTGAGCCTGTAGTTGGGGGCGGTCAGGCAGTACCTGTCGGGGGGCAGCCGCGGCCCCGAGTAGGGTTTGATGAGGGGCAGCGGCGTCTGGTTCTTCTGGCGGGCGATGTCCAGCAGGAACTGTGGACACACGACAGGCCCATGTCCCCCCTGCCCCCTCCCCTGCCCCGGGGGCAGCAGAAGGGCTGTGGGGGCAGCAGGGGGGCTGCACTCACGTCTCTGGGCGGGGGGGAGGTGAAGGACTGGTCTGTCCTGCACTGGATCGCCAGGCGCACGTCGTCCGCGTCCACACTCGACTTCTTGGCGTGGCTCGAGTAGATCTTGGCGTCCTCCAGGATGGTGGTCACGTACCCTGGGGGGACAGCTCAGTTCAACCCTTCCCTCCCAGCCCTGGCACTGGAAATATGACTCCCTGCAGGGTTATTGCTCACACTGCCAGGGCAGGGTTCGATGGAATACTGGGAAGGAATTCATGGCTGTGAGGGTGGGGAGGCCCTGGCACAGGTTGCCCAGAGAAGCTGTGGCTGCCTCATCCCTGGAAGTGTCCAAGGCCAAGTTGTACGGGGCTTGAAGCAACCTGGGATGGTGGAAGGCGTCCCTGCCCATGGCAGGGGGTGTAATAGGTGGGCTTTAAAGTCCCTTCCAACCCAAACCATCCTGGGCTTTGTGACTCTGTGATAACTTTCAAAGAATCCCAGAATTAAGGCTGGAAAAGATCTCCACGACTACCGAGCCCAGTGGTTAAAGTCTGAGACGGGAAACCCCCAAGTGAACACGGATACAGAACTGCCCTGCTCCCCCCGGCCTTTCCCCGCGCCCCTCCCGCCCCCTGCCCCGGCCCCGCTCACTGTAGGCGAACTCCAGCATCTGGTTGATGACGCGCGGCTCGTACTCGGTGATGCCCATGTCCTTGAGGATCTGCGCCATCACCTGCGGGGGGAGAGGGGCACGGCTCAGCCGCGGGGAGCCCCCCGCCGCCCCGCTGCCCCCGTGCCCCGTGCCGGCGGTACCTGCGCGTCTTTGGGGGCGCTCTTGGGGGACGCCATCTTGGCCGCCTCCATCGCTCCCGCCCACGTGACCGCCGAGCGGCGCGCGGGGCTACGGCGGCCGAGAGGGCGCTGTTGCCATGGAGACGCGGCCCGGCGCGGTTGCCATGGAGACGCGGCACGGCGGGGCAGAAATTCCTTGTAATATAAATATTCCTGGAGACCAAGTGATGCACAGAACAAATGTGGTGGATCCAGGGATCCGTCCCCTGTCCCTCCCGCTTCAGACAGTCCAGTGCCCCCTGTCTGCCCCGTGGCACAGCAGGAGGGGATGTTTTGTTACTTCTTTAACGGCTTTGAAGCCACTTTTTAAATTGCTGGCATTCCCAGGGTTAGATAAAAATGAGAGTGTGTTCTTGTGTGTTTCCACTGCTCTGAAAATAACTGGTTCCACTTAGGAAGCAAATTTAAAAGCTTTTTCCAGTTTGTTTTCATGGCAGTTGGATGGATTTGAAAGTCATTTAGAGCACATTCCATGCGGGTCTCATCAAAGTTTCTCCCTTTCAGAGACAAAACAGAACCAAAGATAAAGTTTCCTTGAGATTTTGCCAGACAGGGATCAGCAGCATTCCAGGAGCAGTTGCAACATTTTGTTACTGCCCGTGATGGTCCAACTGAAGCAAGGGCTGGAGGACGAGGATGTCCCAGGGACTCTCATTGAGCCTCCCCAGAGAGAGGGGGAAAGGAACAGCAGCTCCCTCTGCTCCACCTTGTACCTTACTGCAGAATGTTCCAGCAGCTGCCACATTCCATCTGCTCCCCATCCCCACCCAGGAAGGTGTCCAGCACCTGGATCAGCCAACTTGGATGGAAACACATCCCAAAATTTGGGAGTGCTGGGCTCACCTTGATGGGAGGCAGGAGCAGCCCCGTGGCTCCGGCAGTGCCTGCAGGGGCTGGAAAACCCTCACCCAGCACGAGGGGCAGGCACAGAATTCCTGAGCCGAGGAGCTTGGCCGGAGCGCTGCAGCTCCGAGGCCAAGTCATTTGACTTCCATGAGTCAGAGAGTTACACAAAAACATCCTGCGAGGAGGAGGGAGGAGGAATTCCAGACACTGACCTTAGACAACAAACAAAATCCACTTTTTTTTCCCTGGTTCTAGGGAAGGGGGGGGGGGAGCTCTTCCACCGCGGGTTCTGGATCAGGCTGGAACTTGGCACGTGGGGCTATGTCCGTCACTCCATTTGTTCCTGAGGCAGGAGAGAAAATGATGTTTGAACTGCAGTGGAACTCTGGGTTTACCCCCAAAACCCCCTGGATCCGTGCTGGGAAACCTTCCCCACCCACCCACAGGTGATATTCCAGGCTGGGAAGCACAACCAGGAGCTACCTGCAGGATTTCTGTGGGAAACCAGCAGTGAGGAAGAGACACGGAGAGCCACCTTCCACAGGGGAGACAGTTGCCCTCGAGGCCACAAACTCCTTCCTGGTCATGGAAGCTTCTCCCCATGGCCAGTCCTCAGGGAATCATGGATCATCCTAGATCATGGAGTCCAACCTGTACCTGATGCCCACCTTGTCCCCCAGCCCAGAGCACTGAGTGCCACGGCCAGTCCTTCCTTGGACATCTCCAGGGATGAGGACTTCACCACCTCCCTGGGCAGCCCCTTCCTATGCCCAACCACCCTTTCCAGGAAGAAATTCCTCCTGATGTCCAACTTGACCCTCCTCTGGCACAGCTTGAGGCCGTTTCCCCTTGTCCAGCCCCTTGTTCCATGGGAGCAGAGCCTGACCCCCCCCAGCTCTCCCCTCCTGTCAGGGAGTTGCAGAGAACAAGAAAGTCCCCCCTGATCCTCCTTTTCTCCGGGATAAATGGCTGAATTCCACATTCTGTGGGCACTGAGCATTGCTCCAATGGAAGAGCATCCACCCTTCCTCTTCACTCAGACACCAGGCTTGTTTTCAGCACTGGAAAACAGGAAATGGGGTCATGGCGTGTCCCGGACGAGCTCTGACTCCTCCATCTGCCACCACCGAGCCGGGGTCGTTCATCCCAGGCAGTGTCTGCCAGCTGGGAATTATCTGCTCCGAGAAATCCGGAGCACAGCCCGGGCGAGCACACGCCAGGCACGGCTCTGCTCAGCGTGCACAATTTAAATCCCATAAATTTTAAATCCCTGCAAGTGTTCAGGGCCAGGCTGGATGGAGCCCTGAGCAACCTGGTCTAGTGGAAGGTGTCCCTGCCCATGGCAGGGGGTGGAGTGGAACGAGATGAGCTTTAATGTCTGTTCCAACCCAAACCAGCCTGTAATCCTATGAAATTTAACTGGGAATTTCTTCACAGACAGGAGGTGTTTAAGGTGCAGCCAAGCAGAGCTGTGGCACACACACAGCTTTTCTTGTTTAGAGGTGTCCAAGTGCTTAAATTCCCTGAATAAACACCCCCAGCCAGTGCTTCTGCCTGTTGGAAAGGGCAGCAGGAATCTCCCCAACGTCAGAACTGGGATGTGCTGGACAATGCAGTGACTGTGCTCAGCACTGACCTTTCCAGCCCAAATCCCACACTATTTGGCTCCACAAAACTCTGGCTTTTGAACAGCCATTCAGAGTAGAGAAGCTGCAAGAGCTGAGCTCCGAGGAGGACGGGGGAGGTTTGTGTTGTACCTGATACCCCTCTCACTTCTGCCAGCGGCCCATTCCCGGGTTATGGAGGAATTCCTGAGGACTGTGGCTGGGCAAATCCTGCTGCAGGGTGTCCCTGTCCCTCTGGCTGTAATTCCAGCTTCCCAGAGCCCTCCTCTGGGTTTTCCCTCATGCTGGCCCCCATCACCCTTACCTCCTCCCTCCTGGCACTTCCCAGCTCCTCATCCTTGATCTTTTCTCAAGTGGAAAGTAAATCCGGGCTGAGTGTCCGACTGTCTCATTTGGAAGACTGGTAGTCAAATAAAGCCCCTCCCATCCTCTCCTCCTCACCAAGCTCCTGGGAAGGGATTTGTCTGGTTTTCAGGACCTTTCTGTTACTCACGAACCTGGGAAACAGAACTCACGTCCCTTCCTTCCCACAGGAGCCAAGAGGTGCAGTGCAGGTTAAGCCAGGCCAGCTCTCTACTCTCCCAAGTGGAAGGAAAACAACCTGTAAAGTGCTGGAAAAGAAAATGGCAAGGAATTCCTCATTTTGTGGGATTATGAACACATTCCCTTCTTCCTAAAGGTCGAGTCAGTGCTCAACCCTCAGGTCTGTCCCAGCACCATCCTGACCTCACACAAAGGGGTTCAGGAATTCCCACGGCTGACACAGCTCCAGGGGAGGAAAAGGACAGTGATATTCCAAGGGTCTCACAAATAAAAAAGTCTTTACAGAAGAAAAATTATTTCAGCTCCTAATGCCACTGAGCATGTTCCTTCACCTCAAATTCCACATGGCACAAACGAGACTAAAACCCACAAAATCACACGAACCCGGAGTCAAATTTGAATACATTTGTATTATTTATTGGCTGTATTAAATATATTATCTATTTGATAGTTACAATTTAGTAATATAATGCATGGCAGCTTTAACATACGTTTGAGATACCTCAAAAATGACAATACAAGAAAACTGAAGATACCTAAAAACATTAATGCCACGAGGGTACATCCTTCTGGAATGGACAACAGCTGATGGAAAAATCCGTATTGCAGTGTAAATCCCAGTTGTTTCTGGAATTATGAGTATTCTGTGGCAATTACAAAAGGATTTTATTTTGTTTTTAGCAGTCATGACTTGTTAGTATTTACTCTGCGCTCCTAATTTCTCTTTTAAATGATCAGGAGTATTATTGCCAAATAACCCTCTACGAGTTGGTTCAAGGAGTTAAGAAATAACCCTTTGGCAACAGAGATTTCTGAAGGCAGTTTATCTGGGTTTTTTTATCAGTTTATCTGCTAAAGGGAGGCTATGAGGAAAATAAAGACAGATTGTAAACTCTTCTGCAAACTAAAGACTAATATCTGTATAAAACTCTTTCCGACACTGGAGGGAGAGATTTCTATGATATAATAAATGATTAACTTAAAGTTCTGCTACAAGTAGAACAATACATTCAAACATACATTTTTTTTTCCAGGACTTTTAATCAAAATAAATAGAGTACAAAATGAAGAGTACGTTTTGAAAAGATTAATTTCAGATTGCACCATAAATCTACTGTGAAGAGGATTAAGCATTACTAGGCCATAATTTAGGTTTTCCACATCTGAAATACAACACAATGCCTCAAACTAACACGACATTATTCCTCAACTGCCGTAGGAGAAAGACCCTCAAGGTGGTGAGTTCATGACTGGAAACACGGCGCCTGTAGCTCTGTCACATCCACCCTCCCACGTCCAAGTGCATCGCTCTGATGTACAAAGTGGAGCCACAGACTTTGCAAAAACACCCTAAATCCACCTTTCTGTGGCATATTCCAAACGCTGTTGGCAAGACCCATCCTGAAACATCGGGAATTTGTGAGTTCCAGCTTTCCAAACCTTTACCCAACGGAGCCAGGAGCTGTGAGGCTCCTCCTCAGGGATTCACAAGCAGATGGAACACAACAGTCAAATGTAGTGCACAGTGTCCACAAAAATATCCCCCCAGCCAACCAGGACGAGTTTCAGACAAGTTCATAGCAGGCTGAACATTCCCAACAGGAAAACCATGGAATGTGAAGCTGCTACCACTGGGATAGCAAGTCGTTTAAAACATCGTATAAATGTTATCTAAAAAGAGCTCTCTCGCGTACAATTTGATCGTTGGGGTTAAGTTAGAAGGGCACCCAAAAGCAGGCTGAACTTTTTATTTTTCAGGTTAATAATAGTACAAAAATTGCTCAGTTTGAGCCAAATAGTGTAACATTTATCATAAATGCACTCTTTCTCCTTGAAGACAACAACACCTGTGCTGTTCTGAGCACGCTGCACAGGGAATTACTTTTCTCTCAGGCACTGAGAGTGAAATGTGGATTGGGCCAAAGCTGCTCAGGACAGCAGGAACGTTCCGGTCACAACAGGGGCCTTTCCTCCGTGTCCTGCTCACGCTCCAGCTGGCATTGATTTGGATTAAAACTCTAAAAAACTGGCACCCTCTACTCCAACACTTGAAATGATTATTACTGAACCCCAAATATTAAAATAACTGTAAAGTAGTAATATCACTAAGTCAATATTCTGCTTTCCTTCTACAGTCTAGTAAATGTGGTATGCTCTAGTAGGCTCTGCAGTTCTGCTCTAAGCTCAAGCACTTGTGCTGCTGGATTTCATGGATATCAACTACAACAAAACCTGATGGAACAGCGATCGCCTCCCGCTGCTCTGGTGGTGCTGGCAAAGGACTGTTCTAGCAATGCCTTCCCTCTCCGAGTGGCTGGAATTGGGAGAGAGGAGGAGGGTGCACACCCCCAGCGTGCACCATAAGGCAGTTTAGCGCTGTTCTCTGACAGCTCACCCTGATTGCAGAGGACCCAGAATCACCCTTTCTACAAGAAACGTGTGCTCAGCATTTTGGAAAGGATCTGCCAACCCAGCCTCAGTGGCAGCCAGCAGCAGGGCGGGAACGCATGGGGCCGTCCCCAGCTAGGATTTTCATTAGGACTAACCATAAATACCCGAAAGAGCTTCTGTACAAAGGGCTGAGCGGGGCCGGGCCCAGCCCTACTTGATGACGAAGTACTGGATGACGACGGCGAAGAGGATGGCGACGACGGCGAAGCCACAGAGCAGCACGATGGCGATGAGCCGCTCTTCGCGCAGCCGCTTCCCGCTCTGCGCCAGCTCCGGCCCGGCCGCGGGGCAGGGGGGGCCCTGCTCCTGCCGCTGCGCCGAGAACACCGTGCTGGGGCTGTAGGGGCCCAGCAGCTCCGGGGGGCCCGCGGGGTCCTGGCTCTGCCGCCCGGCGCAGACCCGCACTCGGTACTCACAGTTCGACTGCACCCCCGGCAGCCGGAACGACGTCTCGGGGCCCTTGTACACCTGGGGGGGACATGGGAAATCACACAGGAGCCACCCCACACACCACACCGGGACCTCCTGCTCCTCACAGAGGGGTGCAGTGCTGGGCACCTCCTAGAGTCACAGAAGCACAGAATGTGCTGGGTTGGAAGGGACCCACAAGGATCATCCAGTCCAACCCTCAGCCCAGCACAGGCCCATCCCCAGGAGTCACACCATGAGCACATCCAGAGGATCATCCAAACTCTCCTGGAGCTCTGGCAGCCTTGGGGCTGTGCCCACTGCCCTGGGGAGCCTGGTCAGTGCCCAACCAGCCTCTGGGGGAAGAACCTTTTCCTGAGATCCAACCTGACCCTGCCCTGACACAGTTCCAGCCATTCCCTGAGTCCTGTCCCTGGTCCCCCCAGAGCAGAGCTCAGGGCCTGCCCCTCCTCTGCCCCCCATGGAAATTGTAACTGCCATGAGGGACACCTCCCACACCTTTTTGTTTGTAATAATTTTTCCAAGTAAAAACCCCTCAAGTGCCTGATGTTGCCCAGAAGGTACCTGATCAAACTCTCTGCCAGCAGCAAGCTGAAGGATGTAAACAATGGAATCTCCTTTCATTGGCTGGAGAGGCTCCCATGTGATTTCATAAGTGTTTTCTTCCAGCTGATTCGCTTTGGGTGCTGTGGGAAAATAAAGGGATTTGTTGGTGTTTTCAGAGAAAAAGAGCAACGGTTTCTATAAATGTAGAACCATTATGCTTAGAGGTAACTCATTCCAATAATTTTAAGCAATTAAGATTTGTTTGTTTATTTCTTTTTCTTCTATTTCATGACATAAGCTTGAAAAATGATCACTGAGTTACACTTGTCTGTCTTTTAGAGCTCACAGATGCCTAATGCTTGTAGGGAGGAGCGGCACTTTCAAATCACTACAGAAACCAGCATTTCTGTCCATGCCCAGAGGTGAAATTACATGTTATAAACATGGTTCAGCCAATTAATTTTCCTGCAGGCCCCCAGCACTCTGATCTTCAGAATGACTTTACCAAGAACCTTTGAGGTTCAAGTAAGAAAGCGAAGACCAGAGGAATTATTTGTGCTCTCATTTGCTACACACTCTTGTAACTTACACCAAATGATGGGTAATCCTGAAAAATGTCTTTCCAACTGAAAAAAGGTTGGAATGCTTAGTTCAGGGGTAGAAGAGCTGCAGTGCAGGAGCCCTTCTCATACCCACAAAGCCCCTCACAACCAGTTCCTGTTCTCTGTCCCTCAAGGGCCTGGAAAGACTCTGGGCTGGGCAGTGTCAGGCTGTAGGAATCTTGCACAGAAGTGGCTTGCAGAGGTTCCTGGGGCAAGGTCAGCTCACCTTTAAGAGATGCAGGTGGAGATTTAGTTGTAGTGAAAGCGTAAACTTGGGAAAAGCCTCCCTCTCCAGCGTCGTTGTAGGCCTGGATCCGGAAATAGTAGGTAGTGGATTCACTGAGCCTCTGTACCTTGTAGGTGTGACAGGGACCATTATAAACTGTAACAAACCTGCAAACACAGAGAACACACACAGATCAGTTACTCAGCAATCACAAACATCTAGCTCAGTATCAGAAGTGGAACACTCATTTTAACATAAGGACAAGGAGGTGACACCACAGTCTGGGTGTCCCAGGTTTCTCCCCATGTGCACACTGGCCATCCCACTGAGGCTGCAGGACCCAACTCCTGCTCTGAATCAAGAGAAGAACCCTTGAATGTACCAAATAAATTGAAATTTCAAGTTAAAGAACAGCTGGCCACCCTGTGTTTCTTTTATGCAAACTGCAAATTGTTTTAGAATTTCCAAAAAATAAAACCCCTGCCAATAATGTAAGATGTTTATTATTCAAATAGTAAATAGTATTTACTGTTAAAAAAAACAAATAGAAGTGCAAGGTATCGTAGAAGTGCAAGTTATTTGACAGCATTTCTGGTTGAAAGACGGGATGCAAAGCTGCAAACTAAGGGGAAAACTCTGGGATGCCCAAGTGACTCACTAGTGCAAGCAGAAGGGAAAATACCTAAAATACCTTAAAAACTTGACATGAAGTAGTAAATCAACAAGAACTTACCTGCCAAACCTGTCCTCCATCTGCAAGTTGAACTGTGTAGGGTTGGTAATTAAAGCTCTGCTGGGCCCTTCTCCCCATTTGAGTTTAAGGCTCTGGTAGCTGAAGACCACACATTCCAGATGAGGAGGGTCGGGAGGTAGTGGTTTGGTTTTGGCTTTCATGGAATGACTGAAAGGACCAACTCCAAGGCTGTTTATGGCCTGTATTCTGATTCTGGGAATGGGAGAGAGCAGCTATGTGGTCAGGAAAAATGCTGGGTAATAAAGCAAGAGTTAAAAGGTACAGAATATAACTGCAGACTATAAAGCAATTAAAATGCAGTCAGAAATTAAAACTGCAGACCCCTAATCTGAACTCAGCTTTAACCAAGACTGAACACGTGACACAGGAACACTTATTACCTGTCCATCCATCCTCCTTTGGCCACACACCTGATCATCCCTTTACATGCTTCACAATGAAAAATTCTAACCCCAGAAACCTCAGAACTAGGCCTTGGCTTTGAGACAGAATGTGAATTTAACACCACGCTCTAACTCCTGCCAATATCATGCTTTGAGTCTGGATAGGACAATTTTGGGGTGATTTTTTGGGGTTGCAGGGTGAATTAGGCAAATAGTTTGTGAGCTGAATGAAAAACTGCTCTAAAAATTTACACCACTACCCTCAAAGCTATTATTTTAAATCCTACCAGTGTGGTTTCAAAACAAACCAGTTATTACCTGTACAGAGTGTCAGGCAGCAGATTCTCCAGGACATGAGTTGTGTTCCTCCCCACAGTGACCAGCTGCTTTTCCCCATACTCTATGTTGTACCCTGTGATCTCAGCCCCGTGGCAGCAGGGCTCTTCCCACTGGATTGCAAGGCACGTGGAGAAGGGAGCAGAGATCTCCAGCTGCTCCTCCTCCAGGAGGTGCAGCACGGTCACGGCCGCGGGCACCGACGGCGGGGTGGTCACCACGCTGGTCTCCCCAAAGAGCCCCACTCCAGCCACGTTCACAGCCTGAAAAACACACCAGGGACACTTCACCAAAGCTCTTTTCTACCCAGGCGGTCACATCTATCACACCCTTCCATGTGTTCTTAAAGCAGCATGGAAGAGAATGGAAAATCTCCCGAACAAAATGGAAACACAGCAAAGCGTCTGGATTTCATGGCACATGGCTGGGTCTGACCTCTCTTCTAGATACAGGGAATTAGGAGGGACTGGGGGAGAAGGGGAAGTATTTTTCCCAGTTACCTTCTAGGTGACAGCACATGGCTTTATTCCTCTCTAGCTGGTTTTCCTCCAAACTGCAAGAACTTGATGGTGTGCTCAGTGACAGCAAAAGGCTTTTCCTACCTGTACCCTGCAGTAATAGGTGGTTGCAGGTGTGAGCCCTTTGACTTCATAGCTCTGGCAAGGGCCAGTGTAGATGATGTGCATGGATCCTTCCACCTGGCCCCAGTCCAGCCTGTATTCCGTGATTTCTGCACCGTTGCATGCCGGGCTCTGTGGGGTTAGAGGAGAAATTCAGTTCAGCTGTTGCACTTCCACACTCACCACACAGATGGGATCTACTGCTACACTGAGCAGAGACACAGAACTGTTAAGGCTGGAAAACACCTCCAAGACCACGAAGTCCAACCTTTGGAAGCACTGGGATTGAAACCTGAGGTCTCTTCCCAGGGATTTTAAGTTCAGCTTGTTAAAAGGTGACACGTGGCTGTAACACCACCACAGTTCAGACCACAGTTTTCACTCACTCACAATCTCTTACCAATTAGATGAACTAATCTATTACATATTAGTTACCATAACATGAGGAGGATTAAATGTCACCCAATTTGTCCAGTTAAGACTGAAATTAGTAACTCAAATCAAGTTTACAAACCCAACATAAACATCTATAAAGAACTGGGCTTAAAATACTCCAGCTCTACATATATTATTTCTCCCATTTCTGTGTACCACACGAGTGTCACTACAACTCTAAAAGCCAAACACCAATCTGGGGGTTACTGAGAGCCATCAACACCTACCTCCCAGGAAACCACAGCACAAGTTGCACTCTTACAGGTTATCAGGGGTTTGCAGCACTGCTCGGGGGGGCCCGGAGCAGTGGAGAGCTCTGCCTTGTCAGAGTAGGGGCCAAACTGCAGGGAAACACAACTGCATGAACACAACAACAGCACCAGAGCAGGAACTGATGTGCAAGTGAAGAAAACAAACGATTTTTAACTTGACAGAGCAATAGATAGCAGAGCCCAGTGCTCAGTTCCACAGCACCACTGAAGATCCCTTGCAGGTAGTTTACTCTAAGCTGGCCCCATTCCCACAGGAATCTGAGATCCTCCCACTCCAGGGTTGTGTAACTCCTCCCTCCCCCAGCCAGGATCTGGCTTCCAGAAGCAGCTGGGGACTGTTTCACAAAGACTTTTATGCAACCAACATTTCTCCCACCCTTTTTTCCAACCTGGCATGGCTTGCACACACCCCTCTCCACACAATGCTGTTCCCACACCACCAGCTGCAGAGTGTGAGCTCACTGGAACACATCAAACAATTTCTTAAGGCATTATTAAGTGGTTCTTCACACAACACAAGCTACAAAATATCCTCAGACTTCTCCAGCAGCACCATCACTGCACACTCTGGTGAAGAAGAGATGAGATGTGGTTTGGCAGTGGTTACCCCGACTTTATTCCCTGCCCGGATCCAGAAGCAGTAGGTTCTCCCTGGAAGCAGGTTGGTCACTACATACTCAGCTGCTGGGCCCTGATACACAACCCTGTGTTCATCCTGTTCAGAGTTTGCCATCTCCAGAATATATTCTGTAATGTCAGAACCTCCATCTACGACTGGGGGGCCTAGGAAACAAAAGCAGATTGGTTTTTCCAGTATTAATTGTTAAATTCTAGAAGTTAGGGCAAGTTTTTATCACATATCTGAGCAGAAACACTTCATGGGGCTTGCTTTTCCCTCCAGATATTGATAGTTTAAGATGGTCCTCACCAGTTTTTTTCCCCAGGTATTTTCCCTGTTTTCTTCATAAAACAGTGTATCTTTGATTATCTCCTCTACTGAGGTAACAATAAGAAAAGAAGAGCTGATTTTTAAATTGCCAAACAGGAGTCAGTCATGGGCAGGCAGGAAGATTTCTCGCTGGCAAATATTTATGTCTGCATAAGTGTCACTGCATCACAGGCAGTCTTCTTAAAAAAAAACCAAAAATACCCCCCAAACCTAAAAACCACCTGAGGGCACAGCCCGCGTCTTGATATTTCTATTTTTACTTTCTTCCCTAAGAAGTTCTACAGCTTGTTGTTATTTGGACAGTTGAAATCAGAGAAGCATTTTGCTCAAGCACTGTGCTCACCCCACTGCAGAGGGATTTCCTTGGGCTTGGCTTTGCCTGCCAGGGCTGGAGCAGGACAGGGGCCGGGGGGAACCGCCGACGTCGTGACCGTCGTGACATCGGAGGCCTGGCAGTGGGACAGGTTAGTTTAGAGCAGGAACACAAAACATCTCACTAAAACATAACCAGAAATGGCTTCCAGATGCCCAGTTATTGTGATTTTGCTCACCTGGCTTTCCCCACCTTTACTGACACAAGACACTCGGAGTCTGTAGGAGGTGCCGGGCCTGAGGTGGTCACACACGTGCTCTCTCTGGGCCCCGCTGTAGATCGTGTCCCATTTCCCTCCTGAGCAAAGAAATGAAACACTTTGCACTTCAAAACCTCTGCAAAATCCTACGTGAAAATTCTCTCACCCAATTACGACAGTCGAGCCACAGAATCGATTTTAAATGACTGATGACACAGAGAACATGCGTGACGTGTGACAACTGACTGCTCGAGCAGTGAGGAAAGATTCATTCAGGTTGGAAAAGATCTCCAAGATCATCAAGTCTATGCCATGTGCCCAAGTTCCACATCTACATGTGATTTAAATATCTCCAGGGCTGGAGAGTCACTACACTCAGTACCCAAAGGTGATCCCTTACCAGCTGATGCTTCCGAGATTTCCAAAAAGTATTTAGAGATGTCTGATCCTCCGTTATCTTTGGGGGGTTCTGAAAGAAACCAACATCTTAAATCATGGGAGATTTTAAAACCAGCCATTATTTTGTTATCAGCTTGTTCAGAGAACATACTCACTGATTGTAGAATACATTCAAGTAGAAAACTCCAACAGAAACAGAAATCAGTGTTCTTAATTATTCATAACATGCTTTTCAGAGCAATTTTTTTCCTATTATTAATCATGATTATGCCAGGAAGAGTAACTAGGAAAATAGTGCCAATTGTAGGTATCAGCTCTTACTTTTTAAGAGCACGAGAGTTCCCTAAAATGAATGAAGAAAACCATCACTTTTGTACTACAGCCCCCAAACAGACCATTTTTTGGTAATGCTGAGTATTTCTCCTGCAATAACAGTATCTACAGGAATGAATAAACAGCCTGAGTTCTCCTCTGATTTAATCTGCACCCCTGAGGGACTGCACATACACAGTTCAGTGCAGCACTGGAATACCAAAAGGCACCTACCCCACACAACTTTCACACTGTGGGAGTGGATCTTGCCCTTTACAACTGGTTTACTCGGGGGTCCAGGTTTGTCAGGATTGGTGCTGTGTTCCACCACCTCACTGGGACTGCTTTTTCCTTCACTGTTGTAGGCAAAGAGCTGTTTCGGGAGTGAAAAGAATAACTTCTTTATTTAATGACAATAATACCTATTGACAACATAAAATGACAGTAATATACTGCTGATTTACAAAGTTCTTCTATTAAAAAAGCAACCAAAACAAAGACAACAATTTAAAGAAAAAAGAACTAGCTAGTGCAGAAAATCTGATTTGTTTTAGGATTTTGCCAAAACCTGTTCCAACAACAGATAATTTCCTGCTGTCTCCATACAAAGTGTCTGAGCTGTATGAAAATGCCAAACCCAGAAAAGCACAGTCATCATTAAATCAGAATAAAATACAAACCCTGAACTTATAGGATGTGCTCCTCCTAAGGTTTCTTAAAGTGCATGAGAGCTCATCTCCGTTGTACTGGGGCTGGAATCCATAACCCTGGGAAGGAGGGAAAACAAGGACAAACACAGTCACTCCTTTTTAAGGCAGAACAAAAAACCAGAGTAGGTCCATCACGATTTTTTAGCTTCAACTTCATCTCTTTATCATGAATTATGTGAAATACTTGGCAATTCAAAGGTAAAACAGAGTTAATTTTTTATTTCAGCACCACAGAGGATCAAGTATTTTACACGTGCAACAACCTTGGCACTTACAGAACCTTCCTCTTCCATGTCCAAGGTGTAAGTGAGGGAGTCATCTGAGGATACCCCAGGGGGTGGGATCCACCTCAGGGCCATCCAGGTCACTCCTGCTTCCAGCAGCACGGGAGGGGCTGGGGCTGGGGGCACCATCCCGGCCGTGTAGTACGACACCGGCTCGCTGAACCCACTGGGGAGGGATTGGACACAATATCAACAACAGCACAGGGGGCTGAGGAGGAAATAAATGACATCACGCATTTGGGTCGTTACCTCATTCCAATATCATTTTTAGCAGCCAATCTCAGCGAGTATCTTGTGGAGGGAGAGAGTTTGGTGAGTTTGTACTGCTTCAGGTGCCCGTAGTAACACTCCTTGAAGGGTCCACTCTTCCCCTGAAAAAATGAGAGCCAGAGTCACTTCTTGCGCTGGGGCTGCATGGACCCTGCCAAGGGTCTGTCTGATCCCTGCCAAGGTCACCCTCTTCACTCTAAATCTCCTAAATCACAGCATTCCACACTGGTTTGGGTTGGAAGGGACCTTAAAGCCCATCTCGTTCCACCCCCTGCCATGGGCAGGGACACCTTCCACCAAAAATGTCATTTCATCATTTAATAATAATGAAAAAAGAAACGAGTAAACCTAAAGAATGCAAAATCTAATGTCATCATGGTCATACTGAATATGCTGATGGTCATTCTGAGCATTCTTGAGAATAAACCACATTTGGATTGAGGTATATGTTTGTTTTGAGTAATGTAGATTTGACACAGTAAACAACTGCAGTTGAAAACAAAACCTATTTTTGACATTTTTTATCCTTTTGAAAACATCTCAGTAAGAAGGCCAAAATCTGAGGGATATTTGTGACAGCTCCCAAAGATACAAATGCTCATCCATTTAAAGAGAGCACAGGAATTAATGATGCTCTGAAAGACAACTGAGGCAGTTTTACACTGTCCCCTCACACTGATCATTTGTCCCTTTAAACTGCCTGGACAGTTGCACTCAAAATAGCTGCTGTACCTAAGCAAAGAGTATTTTTAAATATAATTGCTCTACAGATGTCATTATGATTTTTTTTTGGTACTAGAAAAGGTCTTACCTCATCCCATTCTAAAAGAAAATTAGTTATTTTGGAACCATTGTCATTTGAGGACTGAAAATAAAGAAACAAAGAAAAAAGAGTTAAAATCAAATGGTTGTACTTTTATAAATATTTTTACACATTAAAACAACATTTTAACAATTGAATACAATATACTCCAACTGCCTTTTAAAACAAGGCTCTGGGCTGCTGTGCTACTTCTATTAATTCTGAGAGTTTGGAATATTAATTTATGAATAGTTTTATTTTATGAATAAAGCAAGTTATATGCTTAGAACTTGTTTCCTTGTGCCTTGCCCTGTGTGCTCACCAACTGAGCAACCTTAGTGTTCAGATGAACAACATTTGTGCTTGTTATGACATATAAACTGGGAACTTCTTCATCTTCTAAGTACAGATTATACAAATAATTTAACTGAAGTCATTTAGCTGTAACCATTTTCAGCAGAGTCAGAAGAAAAAGAAAACCAATAATAAGACAAGAAAACACAGCTACCAACAAGTCTTCACAGGTACTGTATATCCTCAAAAGTCAGATTAAAAAATGTAAATCCACAAAACCAGTCAAAGAAATTTAGTCTGAATGGGTCAGGATAACTATAGGAATATTAAGTTATATCTATTTATCATGTAGGAACCCAAGCAAAACCAGTTGCCAGTTGAGAAGAGAACTTTCCTACAGAACAGTTCATAAGAGACCTGCTACCAACTCTGCCACACTAAAGCTGCAGGCAAGAAACTCAGTAAATACTGAAAGAGGAAGAAAATAATCATTTCATTATCAGTCTTAACTGAGCAACTTAAGAGGCAACACCTAAAGTACACATTAAATTATTGACCAAGCTAATTTAAACATACTATACATGAATGCAAGCAGATCCCACTGCACACCCAGCTCTGCTTCTCACCTTCCACTGCAAGCTCAGGCTGTTTTTGGTTCTGTTAATCAGCTTTGGGGCAGCAGGACAGTCTGGCTCACAGCTCTCTGTAGTGAAGCTCACCAACTCTGAAATGGATTCCTTGATGGAACTGCTGGTTGCTGAAACTCTGAACAAAGGAGAATTAATGATGTTGCTGTTGCATGAGCACCTGGGAATTTCAGGAGAGAGCTGTTGGCTTCAGAAATGCATTTAATCCCAAACAGAGGCTGCACAGGGTTTGCACACAGAGCAGGGATGGGATCACACCAGGATCACACCTGCTGATCCCAGACAGAGCAGGGATGGGATCACACCAGGATCACACCTGCTGATCCCAGAGACCTCCTTTGTCATCTTCATTTACTTTACAGTTACTCTCTGTCACAGTGGACATATTTTAGTGCTGAAATACACGTGGGATGCAGGATGAAAACTGAAGGTGTTCCCAAATGGTAACAGAACCCCTGACTGGAAATGAGCCTTTTACTAGAAAGACCTTGAGATTCAAATACAGCCAATACTTGTGCAAGAGTACAGACACTAAAATGGGCTGAATCAGCTGCTCAGGCCATAAAATCGTGCTTTTTAGGGTAATTGTTTAATCTCCACAGGATCTGTGCTCATTTCTGTGTGTTTGGTTGGCCTGTATGGAAAACAACCCCCCAAACCACACATCCTCTGTGCAAGTGGAGTTGTGCTGAGTATTCTACACACTCAGAATGTTTCTGCAGCTTAAGAACAGGACTTTGCTTCAGCAAATCTCAAGGCTGCTTTCCTCCTGTGCCCCAGCACTGACTCTTCACACGTTCCCTGGCTTGTTTAACCAGCTGGGCTCTCCCTGACCAGTCCCACACCTCCCTCAGGATTATTTACTGTGTGGCAATTCCTGAATGTCATGTCTCGTTCCCTGGTCACATCTGACTTCCCCCTTCAGCCAGTTCCCCCTTCCCTCCTTGCACTGCTGCACTTCACACAAGCTACTCTGCAAATCAAGCTGACAAGTCAGACTTTTCAGATCCAATTTCAAGGCTAAGTCATTCCATTTACCACTGCCTTCAGCCTACAACAATCGTCTCACTCCGTCCAATCTTCTTCTAAAGATGGAGAATAACACGGAAAAACTTAAAGTTTGCATGTGAGAAACACAGAGAAAATGGTAAGGAGGAAAATGAGGTGACATTGTAATGAAATTAGAAGGTAAGTGGGAACTTAGACAGCAAAACCAGTGTCCAGCCATGGTGTTTTTTCAGAGTGTTCCTCGAACTGTTTGGATCACACCTTTTTTCCATGAAGCCACAGTAATTCTGTAATTCCCCCAGCATTAATTATTTCCGTCCCAGCAGCATACCTGGCATGATAATCAGTTGCTGGTCTGAGATCAGGAAGTGTAATTGTTAATTCCTCCCCACTGTGAAAAGGCAAAAACAAACAAAAAGCAGAGTTACAGCTCCTCCTTAAACCTTCGAGGCTCAAAGCTCATTGAAAAGCAAAACCATGTAGAGCACATTTAATTTTCCCACTGTCCACGTAACTCTTTAGTGATATTACTTAAAATTTATTTCATGTGAAGTAGGAAGGTCTGCAAGTCAACAAACAGCTCCTGATAGAGAGATTGCTGATTGGTTAATGGTTTAAACATGGCAATTGTGCTTAAAGGAAGAAACTAAACTTACACATAGACAGATTTAAATTTTCCATTTTTACCACTGTTGGATATTGCTACTTCAAATGTAAATGCTGCTGGACTATGACTATGGCTCTCTCCATTCTGTGAACTAACTGGGAGATTCCAGGACAGAACGGCTGATCTTGCTTGTATATCAGAAACCTATTAAAAGCATAAATAATGCAAGTAAGTTTGCTTTCTGCAAGAAAAGGTTTGTTAGTCAACAACATGGTGTGGCTAGTTTGCCTATGAAGCTCCTCACTGGAGGAATTCTTTACCTTTGTAGTGGAAATATCGAGGCATTATTTGAATTTCAATTATTTCCTCTTTTCAGTTCTAAACCAGCACAGTAAAGGCTTTCCCTTCAATCACCAAACAAGACAGACACATCACACTGGCTTGGGGCAGGGAGAGAAAATTCCTGTGTCACTGTTTGCATCACTCATTTGGAGCAAATTCTCAGCTGTGGAGTCTTGGACACTGCCACCAGCTCAGTGTTCAGGCACAGACACCTCATTTTCTTACAACTCCCTCACGTAACATTTAACCACTAAGCCAAGGGACAGCAAGAGGCTCTGATTTCAAGACTGAAATTTCTTAAGTTTTTTTTGCTGTTGGATTCCCACACTCCAAATTCCCTCTGACAAAGGCAACACAGCCCTCTGGCAGCATTAAATACAGATGGCAGAGGAAGCAATGAAAAAATAATAGTGTAACAAAAAACCCTCAAAAACTGGTGTGAAGGAACACAACCTATGTTTGCTGTATAGATAATGCAGAGAAGAGCTCAGTAAACATGCTCAGATCAAAAAGAGACATTTAAATTAACCTCACCAGACTCCAACTTCCTAAATAAGTCTGTACATACTCAAATATTTGCTCCAATTTCTCAATATAATATAAAAAGAGGATCTATTTTTGTCAATTTTATTCCCCATATTCTTAAATCCTCTGTGCTGAGCAAAGGAAGGTTCCAAGAGTGGACAGACTTGCAACAGTTTAGCAGGCCCTTGGTTTGCAAGGCACTAAAGCCTTGAATACACTAGAAAACTTCAACAGTGGAATATTCTGGGATTACAGACTGGGAAACTGAGTCAGAGAGTTTCAGAGAGCTGAGAAATAGTGAATTTCCACAGCGTGGCTGCCCTTTGCCAGCTATGAACTCTGACAACTAAATCATATTTATTTTCTCTATTTAAAAAATAAACCATTAAGAACAAAGAAAAAGGGATCAATAAGACACAAGTTATTATATACAAAGCACATCCACAGAAAATAATGGGATTTAAGGGTAATACTTACGACTGGTTTGCCAATGCTCAAGTGAGTATCACATTTCTTGGATTCTGTGTCAGATTCTGAAATTTAAATACAAACCAGATTAATCCCAAAGCCTGAGAGCAAGCCAGGCTGTTACCAAAAGGCCACCACGAGATGGAGTTGGCCTCATTAGGACTTTAACAATGGTACTTATTGTGCAAAGTTCATTTCCCCTGTTTGTTTTGGCTGCGTGAGGGGGAGAAACATGAACTGTCCAAAACTAACAGTGTTACAAAAACCCTTTTAGTACATCCTGCACAAAGGGGATCTTTTCCTAATCTGAGCGTAAAGGGGTTTTCTTTGACAACAGAAAAAGATTCCTCTGAAAATGAAAGGTGTTAAAAAAAATGACAATAAGATCTTATCTCTGCTTTTTGTGCTTTCCTGGAATTCCTACGGCAAAACAATCACAATCTGGAAGGAGCCTGACACTGTCTCAAACCAACAGCAAAGACAATCATCCTTGCACAAGGTATTTTAGCAGCCAAAGCTGAAATTACAACTGATCAGTCAGCAGCCTGTGCAGATACTGCTCAAATCTTATTTCTTGAAGTATTAAATAGCATCTACTCGGCCAAAAAGTACCACAAAGAATGACACCACAAATCTTAAGTACCTACAGGTCATCCTCACTTGGAGTATTGATCAGTCCTCGTCAGAAATGGCAGGGAAGTAAAAAGGTTTAAAATTCAATTTTCCTCGGGACTTATTTGGTAAATCTCAAATGAACAAACTTGATATCACTATTATTTCTAGAGAAAAAAAATCTAAACCTAGTGAAAAGCATTCTGGGCTTTCCCTAATACTGAACAGCCAAAGAAATTTATAAATTTAAGAGCTTATTTTGCAATGAACTTACAGACCTGTTAGAAAAGAACTCAGATTTCTTTTCCCCTTTCAGTGCAACCTACCTCCCATCTCTGCCTCTGGACTGCCCTTTGTTTTTCCTATCTGCTTCTGCTTTAGTGCTCCTCCTGCCCCTTGCTGTCCCTTCCCATTCCCATTGGGAATTGTGGCATTGGAAGAATTAACAACTTTGTGTGGTGAGGAGGGAGGACTGTTCAGTTTATTGTTGGTGTGACCACTGGCTTGTCTGTCTTTTAGTCTCTTCTTCAGGTGTTCCTGCATTTTGAGACTCCTTTCGTCCCGCTGGATGAAGTTTGTCCTTCCATGGGAACGAGGTTCTAAAAGGGAAAGAGAAATTAATTCACTGTTCAGCATCATTTACTTCACATCTGACAAACACTCTGCAATTTTGAAGAATCACTGCAGTAAAACCCAGAAGTTGAACCCCTCAGGAACTTCCCTGTGCTCTGTCAGTCTGGAGGGACAGGGATTTTTGAGGTCTTTTTAAACTGAATTCTTCAGGCCCTTCTCCTGTCAGCTGCTCCACATCCTGCCTTACAGCTGCTTTTCTTCCCTGCTACAGCCCCACTTGCAAAAAAATTAGCAAATTTAGGACCCAAATTAACTTTTTTAAAACACAGCTTGGGGGCTACTGAGTATTTTACCCTAGACATGAGTCAAAACACCTTAATCATCAATTTAAGTTTGAGAGAGAGATAGCGAATGGTCTTACATAGTTTAATTTCTGTTTTAACTCTTGATCATTTAACAAGGTGTATAATAACTCTGAAGTGTGTAAAAGCTTGGTTTAATTCAGCATGACCCCAGTCCTTCACTGAGATATTGATTCATTAAGTTTTTAAATACAGAGTGGGCTTGCACTTCACTCTCCAACATGGATAACTATGTTTTATGGTTTATAGACAGTATTTTTATTCTCTTTTTTGTCATATTTGGACTCAAAAAAATACGTTCATGTATCAAATCAAACACAATTTCAAGCCAAGGCTGTGACAAAACACAGCAGTTTTGGAGAGCACAGTTTTAGGGAGAGGTAGAAGCCACCACTGTGGGATTTACAGCGCCAAAAGCAGGGATCTGTGGAAGACACACAGGATCACAACACTTCCCAGGCACTGCCTTTGCATTAAAGATGTAAAAATGGAACAGCAGCAGATTGAAGGTTTATACAACCCCACTCTGCACTGGTTGAGTGCAGACCAGGCTCCTACACACCCACCCTCCAGGGCTGCTTTAACATCCCTGCTCTGCCAATGGCCCCAAACCCATGGATAGAGCCACGGACAGAGCCAGGAACAGCCCCTGTCCCACCTGGCTGCCTCCCAGGCGCTCCCTGGGCCTCACCTTGCTCCTGGAACACCCCCAAACCCACGGACAGAGCCCCGGACAGCTCCTGTCCCACCTGGCTGCCTCCCTGTCCCACCTGGCTGCCTCCCGGGCATTCCCTGGGCCTCACCTTGCTCCTGGAACACGTGTGGAGGCGGGTGCTGGTGGATGAACTGCGGGGGCAGCTCCCCTGTGCCGGGCACGGGGGGGAACACAGGGTGTGGGGGATGCGGGAGCAGAGCGTGGGGGTGGTGCATGTAATGGGGCACGTGGGGGGGAGGGGGAGGAGGGGGATGCATGGAAGGGTGGAATTCCGAGTGGGGCACCACCACCACCTTCCGGACTCCGTTTTCTTCCACCACCTGCCACAGAACGGGAGAAATCCAGGGTCAATCCAGAGACAACCTTATAAAGAAATATTTACGCGTAATAAGGAATTTCTGTGCTCGAGTCCGTGCCCACGACCTGCCAGGCAGGGATTTGCACCCCAAACTGAATTCCAGGGGAAACCAAGCATGTTTCACTAGAAGGAAGAAGAGTTGGAGGGTCAGCTGTAACACCCCAAAGTGCTGAACAATCACAGAATTCCAGGATAGTTTGGGTGGGAAAGGACCTTACAGCCCTCCAGTGCCACCCCCTGCCATGGGCAGGGGCACCTCCCACCAGACCAGGCCGCTCCAGCCTGGCCTTGGACACTTCCAGGGATGAAGCCTGTTCACCACTGAACCATTTCATCCCACTTTGGCAGAGTCCAAAACAATCCCTGGGCTCCTCCAGACACTGGGGACACAAAGGTAGAGTCTCATCTCCTGACAGGAACAGTCTGAGTGACTCAAGCTCTGACTTAGAGTTCATTTAAAACTTGTCAATCCCTGTCACAACAGCCGAGGGAAAACAAACCAACCCTCCTGGTTTCAGGTGACAGCAAACACAGAATAAATAAATGTATTTTTCAGGTTGTACTGCCAGGGCTTTGCACTCTGTTTGCTCTGATGGCTCCATTTCAGAGCAATGAATTATATAATCTGGAGGATCCTTCTTCAGGGTTTGCATGAAAGTACCTACTCAGAACAGCAGAAGTCCAAAATGCACCTGTGTGCAAAAAACACAACCCAAGAACACACAGCTACAAGGTTTCAGGCCTACTGAAAAAACTCCTGATTTTAAATATTACCAGCAAAAGGTCTGCAAAACCAAATTAAACTATTTGCTTTTAATTATTTCCCTTTCAAATGCATTAATTTAGAAGTAAATCAAACTGGTCATTTGAGCATCTCTGGTAACAGCTCAAATACCACACACAGGTCTGATCTGCTGTGACTTAACAACACCCAGGAGTGGAAAATCCATGAGAATGGAAAAATAAAGCTGGGAGAGCCCAAAGCCCTGCTCATTTCACAGGCACATGTCACTGGAATTAGTGTTTCCATCACGAACATTCCCTTCACACTCTGCTCCAACAGTGGGGTTTTGCTGGATGTTGAGGAGGTCAGGGACAGTGAAAAATCTGATTATTTATGACTATTTAGTTATAATAAAATACAAAAACCTGCAGCCAGCTGGGACTGTTTGCATGACCCAGGCACCCACCCTCACCTTGTAAACAGGACTGATGGAAAACAAACATGTGGATCCTGTTAAGGATCAAGACAGTCAACTCAGAGTCATCTTTCTTACTAAAAGTATCTTTTACTGCCTAAGAGTATTTAAAGAAAATCCTGGAAACCTGTTCAAATTTTACTCAGTGAACAGAGGTGACAGAGCCCACAAAGTAAAGTGAAATAGTTGTTAAGTTCAATGGAAAAAGTAGGAGAAATGCTTTTTTCCCAGCTAAGATAATCAATAAATAAGATAAACATTATTAAACCCACACAGAACATAAAACTTAAATAAAAATCTATAAATGATATAAAAGCATGCAATATAAAAACATGAAATAGGAGGATGAATGAAGTTTACCTGAGATACATAACCGGGAGGCACAAATATTGGTGGCATGGAACCATTTGGTGACATCAGAGGGACATGTGCTGGACCTGGGGAGGAACAAGGGGCCACTTTTTAACAAACCAGGTTTTTCCCATCTGGAAACACCTTTTTCCAAAGGTGGGAGCTCACCCTGGGGCCTGAAACACCAGCAACTGCATTTGACTCGGCCCTGGATTATTGGCTTTATCCCAACCACCACCCCCAGGCAGCCAACAGTGTTTGTTTCACTGCACAAAAATCAGTATAGATAATTTTAGCTCTTATTTTGTGGCAGCTAACAGTCTGTAGTAATGCAGACGGCTGGTCTAGTAACTTTTTTTTGAATTTTAAATTGGAAAACATTGTTTTTCACATCAAGCTGAAAGGAAGTATTCCTGTGTGGGACTTGATGAAAGCAGAATGGACACATTTTATATAATAACATTTGAAATGGTGAAAAATATGTCCAAAATAGAAATACTGATAAATTCAACTTGACTTACAGGAGATATTTTGCCCCAACTCAGATGTTCTGTCACTTACCCAGAAGGTAAAAAGGAATTTTCAGGCACAATTGGGAGCAATAATTCCCCCAGCACCTGCCAAGGCTGTACCTGACAGCACAGTGAGGTCACACGGGCTGTTAAATTTGTTTAGATTATTGTGGACTAAATCCCATGTAAATTCATTCCCAGGATTCTGGGAGGACAGTTATTCAAGGATCACTGCAAAACCAGCTTTTATAAATTAAAGTCTGCAGGATAGGGGGGATCCTGGCAACTTCCCAGGGCTTTAACAAAAATCTGATGTATTACACTGCAAAACATACAAACCACATTTGATAGCACAGAAACAAACAGGAACTTCAGAGCCAAAGTATTTGGGTTCACAACTCTGGCTTCCCTTTACCTTGAATACACTGCATGTGCCCATCTTCAGTTGTAATTGTAAATGTTTCACCTGGGTTTACCTGGACAAGAATAACCTGGAGGAAACAAAACACAAGAGGTGTTGGGGTTTTTTAATATTTTAAGAACTATTTGGGGGGGGGGAAATCTCTTCCTTCTCCCCACATGTGAAATTAAAACAACAAAGCTCTGGTAACCTTGGAGCAGAAAAGCAGGATGAGACACTTGTGGGTGGAATGAGATTTCTTTATACTTTGACATCAAATCATTATTTTTTTTCTCTGATTACCACCAGAAGTGCTTCCCTTGACACACCTGAAATAATTAACTAAGCTTTTCATTTCCATTCTTTCACACTGCTTCTTCTTCTCTTACTGAAGCAACACATGACCTGAGCTTCACTTTGTTTTTCCAGCTTTTCCCACCCCCTCTGCCCTGGATCTCCCAAAGGATCATGTGTGTATTTTGTGTGACTGTGCAGTTAAAGAAATACAACTAAATACAACTCCCAGTGAGATTCTGCAGGTCCCTTTGGACATGACCACATCCAGCTGCACACAAATCCATGTGGAAATGTGCCAGTCACCCCTCAGGCACCATCATGTCCCTGTGCAGGGTGTCACAAACCATCACCTCGTCCTGCCCCGTGCACAGAACATGTTTCAGGCTCAGGGAAATATTGGCAGCTGCAGTTTTATTGTAATTTTACTGTAACATGGCAAACTTCTGCAGTGAATTTTATGGTATTCTACAGGCACAGGTCTAATTCTTCAGTAAAATGAGTGTTTGGTCAGGTAAGAACTGCATTACACAGTCAAAATTCCACCCTGGTGATGGCCAGCACATGAAGAAAGGCCAGTGTAAAAACAGAAATAAAATATATTTGTTAAATTAGGTATGAAACTCAAAAAGTCTAATCTTCTTTCCTTCAATTTTTATAAAGTATTTTTATACTATTCATGGAATAGTTCTATCAAGTAAATGGGACCTGAAGAGACCACCTGGTCACCCAATTCCTGGTAAAATGAGCTACTCATGACATTAATGAATAAATCTATTCTGTGCTGCCACATCTCCAGTGATGGAGCTCCTTAAACTCCCCAGGCACCTGCACCACACTCACCTTTCACCATCCTCAACAGTAGAGACTCAAAGGAACAGACTGAAAAATGCCATTTAACACTGATTTTGCAGCTTCTGGATATTGGTATATTAATCTTGACTTTATTATTTGTAACATCCCTTGTACAGGAGAATTGATGCTCCTTGTACAGGAGGATTTTCCTGTGGGTAGATGAGTTGTTTCTGGGCACAACTAAACCACCAAAAGCCCCTGAAAAGGCCATTTAGCCAGTCAGCAATACTTATTGTGGTTCCAGGAGAAGGAAAGATGGCAGAGAATACCTTTAAAAACGGCAAATTAAAACACTGGAACTTCAGCAGATCTGTCATTTCAGCATATGAGTAAATTTGACTTTAATGCTACTGAATTTCTCAGAGCAAAGAGAGAGAAGTGCTGTTAATTGTTTAAAGCAAACTGACAATAATGGGCTGGGGATCTGCCAGAGCACAAGGAACCAGGAAGAGGAGGTTTGCTGGGGATGGGATCAACCCTCCCAGCAGGGGGAGGAAAGGGATCCTTGGAGGGATTCTGAGCCTCTGAACGTGGTAGATCCTCAGTCCAGGTTTCAGTGAACTCCAGTTCTCAGACCCAGCTCAGGAAACTCTCACTGAGCAAAGATCCCCAGTCAGGGGTGCACTCACAGGCTGCAGCAGCTCCAGACTGGAATTCCAGGAATGCACAGGCAATGTCTTGGAGGAATGACTCACTGTAATTAATGAAGCAAATGCAGTCCCATCCACCTTCCAAGGAGGCACATTTCCAGGAAGCTGGAGCCTCTCTAATGAGTGGATGTGAGCCAAGTTCCACACAGGGAGTGCTGGAGCCCAGACCTGCCAACACCTCCCTGTGTCCTGTGCAGCCCCTCAGAGCCAGGGCAGCAGCACAGTGGGACACCTATTGCCAAGCACCAGGCTCTGCTTTTATCCCTTAGCCACACACTTTCCACTGCTCAAGTTTTTTCAGAACAACAACAAAAAAAAAAAAACAACCAACCAAAAACCCAGAAAACTTCCAACTTTTTGCTTTATGTGACATGAAACTAATGATGAGCTGCACTCACTGCCTGAGGGGACTGGGCAAACACACAGGGTGGGTTTCTGAGAACAAATCACTGTACAAACACTTATAACAGAAATTCTGTATTTATATATATGTATTTTTATATTACTTATTTATAGAGAGAGTTTCCTCTGGCAGCGAAATAATTAAAAATCATCTGCATTAACACAGATTCTAAGTCAAGGTTCTATTTAAACTTCAAACCTACTCTTCAAATGCATTTCCAAGATACAACTCTTTTTTCTCTCCCTTTTCTACTCTCACCTGGTGGCAAACAGTCTGCTCTAGGTTCCAAAAATGTCACCTCCTCATGGGTCATTCAGCACACACTGACCTACCCCAAGACATGACCCACACACGGCTCTGGGACAGGGGCCAATTAGATCTACTTGATTTCTTTTCCTTGATCTCTTTTCCTCATGTAACATGAAACACGAGGTTCTGGGCAGGGGCTGAAATTTCACCTTCTAGTGCCAGGACTTCTGACATAGCTCAGAGACTCCACAGCTTTACTTATTTCCAGTGTAATTGTGTAATTACACTCACTGTACTCCCATCTCCAGAGTCTGAGGCAAAAAGACAAAAGTACTTTTTCTTTAATAAACTGAATACAACACAGGCCTCTCCTTCTTCCCATGACAAATTAAAGAATATCTCATTTCAAGTTTTCCAGCATTTATTGTCTATAAATGACCCCCAACAATTCATGGTTATTTTGCTGTACCCTGTTCAGTCACTGTACATTCAAATATCCCAAGGGCTTCATGTCACCATAATCATTCCATGACAGTTATCCCCTGGGAACTTTTATGCAATTTTCCCTTCTGAATTAACCCCTGAATTCCCATTTCACTTGGTGTCAGACACTTGAGGTGATGAACTGATCAGATTAAAGCAATGGGCAGTTTGTCCCTTGCTTCAACAAAACAAGTCTTTCACTCAGGCACAGAAATCCTTCAAATGTCTGTTTTGTTATTAGAGAATCCTTGAACAGCCAAGGTTGGAAGAGACCTTGAGATTACCTGGGAAAGGGAGCCTAGAAAAGATGCAGTGTTAAAAGATCAGGATGGCTGGGAGATTTCTGAGTGCACTGCAAGTCTGTCTCCAGAGGTTGGGAAGATCCTCAGCATTTATAGCACAAGGAACTTGGCTTCTACTGCCAAAGAGTAAATTCACTTCATGTTTACTGACAACTCACACAACCTTGGGCTTCAAAACTCTTTTACTTTCACTTTTGCCTGTATTTCTAATCCTCAGGTACTTCTGAAGGGTTGTGTCCAATAAAACTCTAAAGTTTCAACTAAATGCACTCAGGTTTCACCACTGCACTGTAATTATTAATGAAGACACTTAATAACAGGAAGCCAAAGTCTTTCCTTTCATTTTCCTGTAATAGACTTCTTGCTTTAGAGCCCTGCAACCACTTGCTAATCTTTATTCATTATTTCACACGAGTTTCAAAACCTTAGTGCTTTATTAAACCCATATATTACATTTTCCCTTTGATCCTTGGAGTTTGCAGTGTAGTTTTAAAGCACTTCCATGTGCAGAACAAACACTCCCTTCACCCAGATGAATGCTGAGCGATTTTTTCCTCCCTGTGTTTGCACTTCTGTTGAAGTGATGACATCAGTGCTGGGAACCACATCCTTCCCTAACTCTGCAAATCAGTATCAGAGCTGGGGTTTTATGAGTCTCCTCCTCTTGTAGCCACAATCCAAGCTGTTCCCAGAGCTCCCTGGTGCACAGGACAGGATTTACTTGCCTGCTGGATGCTGTCCCCATTGACCATGTGAGGTAGAAGTGGCACTTCATTCAACAGAGGTGTGGCTTCCAAGGGGGGCGGCTGGTCGGCCATCATTTCTTGGGACCATTCATGGACACATCCACCACCTGCTCCAACAAAAACACAGGGACAACGTTACATCCAGATCTCCTTCCCCAAATAATCCTCTATTTCACTTGACAAATTTGGCACCAGACTCACCAGCAAAGGATCATTAGACATCAACACTCCACAACTCTCCCCTGAAGGTTTTCACATAAACTGATTTTAATTGGACACAAAATTCACTATAAAACATCCCCTTTGGCTTCATTGCACATTTAAAACCTGGGCAAACTGACAGGCTTAAAGGATGGAGGGGATGACATGTCATAGATCCAAGTTCTTCCTTGTGGGTGGGTCCCTTCCAACTCAGAATATTCTGAGTGCCTCCAAGTAGTCCAGTATTATCCTACTTTTCATTTTTAACTACTTCATTTAAGCAACACAGATCCTTCTCCCAAAATTATCCTCTTTAATGATCATGAATATTCAACTTGCCACACGAGTGCTGAAACTGGTACCTCAGTGCAGCAATTACACACTGAGGGAATTTGCATTTATGCAGCACTTTATTCCTAAATTTGCATTTATAATTCTTCTACTCCAGACCCCAAGTGTCAGGCTCAATAATGCACATGCCACATATACATTTCAGTCCCTGTGATGATCAGAAAAGCCCCCAAACTGTGTCATTTCTCCAGTGTTGCAACGTGTCCTCAATGCGGAGTCTGCCATGGTGAAAACAAGGCTTAAGACAACCCCAAAAAAGCATTTTGTAACAAAGTCTTTAACTGAGCCCCACGGAGAAATGCAAAGGAAAAGTGCTGCATAGCTGTGGACTTCCAGGGACTAATCTGTAATTACAGCCAGTCAAAACACAATCCACATGGTAGGGAATTTTCTGTGTATAGTCAATCCAGCATCCATAAAAAGCACAAGATAACAGGATACAGGAAATGCTGACACTTCCTTCTCCCTTCCCATTACCTCCCATAAACCAGAAGGCAAAGTGTGGGCAGGACAGTTTATTCCTTAAAAATAAAAATCAAAACCAGACTAAAAACATCCCCCCTAAATCGGTGCATGAATCAAGTCGGGCTGTGCCAAGTCCTTGTTCAGTCCTCTACAACCTGCATGGAAAGGGAGTGTTTGGGGAAGGAAAAAGAGGAAAACCCCCGATGAACTCTGTACCTGTGGGACTGAATTTCCAGATTTGCAACAGTGAGAGAAATATCACAGCCTGACTTAGCATTTCTGCTGGTTTTAACTCATTTTGTTCAGCAAAGGTCTGCAATAAAGCTGAGATTACAGGATTTCTCTTCTATTACCACGACAAGGTAAAGGAGCTGGTGGAATCCACTGATAAAACCCACATTCCTCCTTGTTTGCAACAGCATCTCAAAATAAGAGATACCATCACACAGCCACAAAATGCAGCACAACAAACTCCTCAAGGTTTCCCAAGAACCCAGAGCACTTCACAAACAACTTGTTTTCCAGGTCTGCTCCAGTCACAATTTTCAGAGGCCAAATACGAAGGTGCAAGGGCTGGACACGACCTCAAAGATTGAATTTCTATCAGGTTATACTTATTATATATATTTAATATACTTAACTGCCTTAGCATGTTATTTATTTCCTGAATAAAATAATCTCCTATTTGGAGATTGGAATTGCCTCTGCCAAGGACATGAACGCAGCTGATGGTATTTAACTATTCCACTTAAAAATTCCTGCATGGTAAAATTGAGGCAGTTTTTCCTCCTCTACACCTCTCCCATTTTTAGATGTTTAGTGGCTGGATTTAAGCCTTAACAGCCATAACAGGAATATGCTATACACAGGCAAAATGAAAATCCTTTATTTTCTATATGCAACAGTCCCAATTTCTTTCATCTCTCAACCTCAAAGACGACAGAAATTAGCACTTAAAATAAAGGGGAAACCCCTTCACCAAAAAAAGCAACTCCAGCTGCATTCAAATGTTCAAGCACCCAAAATGAGCAGCTGCAGAAAAACGTGTTCTGAAACAGGTCCCAAAGCCACCTGCAATTCTAAATGAACATTCTGAGTTTCTATCCTGAGCTTTGGTAATTAATTAATTTTCTGAGGTTTTGTCTTTAGGACAAATTGTAAAGCAGAGCCCCAACATCCACATGGGGTTTAGAACCCTCAATCTCCTGCCTGATGGCTCAGATAGTGCTTAATTCCCATTGACACCTACACACACATTCTACCTGCTCAGTGCCGTGATTTCATTTTTCAGAGGAGGAACTTAATACTTGGAGTATCAGGAAACAACTGTTTTTATACAGTTAATGACAAACACCAAAAATAGCGAATTTCGTGTCTTGGCAGGAATCTCCACGTGGGCAGAGGAAATAGAAGTACTGACACAAATGAAACCATTTTCAGAACTTCTGGGCAGTTCCACCTGGCTCAGGACGTTGATATTTCCCTGTGCAGCTGGGTTGGGGTGGCTGCAAGCGGCAGAACACTGAGGACAAAAGAGGAATGCCCTGACAGATTGGAAAAAAAAAACGAGTTATTTTGGTTTTACAGCACTGCTTCATTCCTCCAACGTCCTGATAAGAGCAGCAAAGACACTGCTGCCCTCAGAGGGAGCCCAGGGAAGGAGGGGGGACTCCACCCCTCCCCACTTCAACAGGTAACACTTTTCCAGGGAAATAGAACACGATCCAGAGTTACCTCCCCAAAGGCTCCATTTCACTGGAGGAAGTAGGTGGTATTGGGGTAAATAAAAAGAGAATTCCTGAAAAGTTATTACAGAGTCAGCACAATTTCCTGCAAAACATAACAAAGACAGGGCTCTATCTTGAAAAGCCATTTCCCAACACCCTCCCACAGCTTGGAGCAGGGAATCCAGCCCTGCCCCACAGCCCTCAGCCACAGGGAAAGGCTGATCCCACGGAAAAGGTGAAGGACAATCACTGCCTGGGCAAGGAGATTGCAGGATCCTGAACCCACCTCCATCCACACTCCCACAAAATCATTCCAGGATGGTTTGGGTTGGAAGGGACCTTCAAGCCCAGCCGGTCCCACCCCCTGCCATGGGCAGGGACACCTTCCACTAGCCCAGGTTGCTCCAAGCCCTGTCCAACCTGGCCTTGGACACTCCCAGGGATCCAGGGACAGCCACAGCTTCTCTGGGCAACCTGTGCCAGGGCCTCACCACCCTCACAGCCAAGAATTCCTTCACAATATCCATCTAACCCTGCCCTCTGGCACTGGGAAGCCATTCCCTGTGTCCTGTCCCTCCATCCCTTGTCCAAGTCCCTCTCCAGCTCTCCTGGAGCCCCTTTAGGCCCTGGAAGGGGCTTTCAGGTCTGCCTTGATCCTTGTCTTCTCCAGGTGAACCCCCCCAGCTCTCCCAGCCTGGCTCCAGAGCAGAGGGGCTCCAGCCCTGGAGCATCTCCGTGGCCTCCTCTGGACTCTCTCCAGCAGCTCCATGTCCTTGTGCTGCTGTTCCCAGGGCTGGAGGCAGCTCTGCAGGGGGGTCTCACCTGAGGGGGCAGAGGGGCAGAATCCCCCCCTTCCCTGCTGCCCACCATCCCTGTGGGATCAGCCCAGGGCACGGGGGGGTTCTGGGTGTCAGGGCATGTCCAGCCTCTCCCCCACCAACACCCCCAAGTCCTACCAAATCCCACATCCCTAAAACTCTGTCAGTGATTCCAGGCTTCCTCTAAACCCTCGGTTTTACCCCAAGGCAAGTCAGCTTGGAGAGGTAACCCCCAGCTGATGGGTTGTTCATGGCCCAAAATGATCAACCCACCCACCGGGAGAACTGTATCAAAGAGCTTCTCGGGTCCCTAAAGCCACTTTGTTCCATCAAATCTCAGGAACGGGGGCTCAAACTGCTTTTGCCATGGTCTGTTCTTGGGTATTTTAGGTTAATCCTCAGTAGTAACTGTCCAAGTGGTCAGGGAAAAAAAAAATACAGAAAAAGTGCTTGCACTGAGGATTGACAGGCTGCACTGACATTAAAGATGAGCTAATACACTAAATTTTAAATTGTAGTCTAAAATAAGCAAGAGTAATCCCATCTGGAAGTGTTAAAGACTAGGCAAATTTTGTAATTTATAGGAATTTACTGCAACTTAGTGAATCATTAAATATGAATCAATAGCAGAATTTCTAGAGGTGTCTCTCCAGCTTTGTCACTGTGTCCTGGAGATTTTTGAGTCAGTATGGAATTAATCAGATTGACTTTTAGAAAGTTTACATTTTGCAAGGGCATTTCTGACCTGATTCATTTCTTTGCAGTGGTTTCCATTACACATCACCTAAAGGTCACTCCCAAACCTAGTTTGAGCTGAGGGATGAATTCAGCCCACGAAGCACAAAAGGCATAAAAAATAAAATAATTGGGATTAATCACCTCTGAAACAAACCTGAAGCTGTTTTAGCTGAGCTGAAACAAGTGACAGTGGAGACCACATTCCTAAGTTAAATAACTTTTGTTTTCACAGATTAATTGTTCGACACACATGTTTCTCAAAAGCTAAAATACTGTCATTTATTGCACATTAAAAAATATTTTAAACTAAATAAAAGCAACTCCTATTGCAAACACGGACCCTGGGACGTGTTCTGGAGTAATTCCACACTGGGCTGGTGTAATATGGTCACTCATGTCAACCATATTCACAGAAAGGCCACATTTTCCACACACAGTCTCGGCCACAAAGGCTTCTAAGAAACGCAGCGAAGCTCCAGGACTGGCCTGGAGCAAACAATTCCCGTACACAGCGGCTGGGCCTGACCTCACTTCCTGACAGAGGGAAAATGCCGAGCCTCTGGAAGGCTGGAACATTGGCCTTCCCTTTCTCCAGCCCGGATTCCTCCCCAGCAGTGTCGCTGGAGCCCGGCCAGCCCCGAGCAGCCGCGCAGGGCTCGCCGATCCCAGCTCCCATTTCCAGGGAAAGCAGCCTCTGTGCTCCTGCACGGAACAGGCAGAGCTCACTGAGGGCTGAATGATACTGGATCATCCTACCAAAGTCTGGAAAACATCAGGGGTTCACAAGACATTTGGAAACTCAAATCT